CGCGCCTGCCACGTCAGCATTTAACGTCTGACTTTGACGGTCAATGTAACGGCGGGTGTCAATTGGTTAGGATTCGAAATGTTGGGTAAGATATTGACTTAAATGAAATCTTAGGGCCCATTTCGATACTGGCACTAAACCTGTAGGGACTAAAGTGTAGTTAATCCTATTCTTTACGAATGAGAAAATGGTTTATGAAGCTCGTATTCTCTCGAAACTTCTCTCTCTCTATCGTCTCTGTTGATTCTGTGAAGCTTAATTGAGCTCATCCACATGGAGTCTCTGAAGGAAGCTATCAAGGTATCAGGGGAATGCCTGTGATTATCATCGGCGATCCTTGCTTCGCTGCTTCATTCTCCGGTATTCAAATCTCTCTGTTCTTCGAGCTTGAGGTTTTGCTTTCTTCAAAGGCTTCTGTGTTGACTCATCTCTATTTTCTAGATTTTCGCATCTTGTTCTTCGTTCTCTTAGAATTCTTCCTTGTGGCTGCTTTGTTCCTTTTCTGCAACTCAATTCCTTTTCTGCATCTCTATTTTCTAAATAAAATGCAGTTGGATTTTATTGTAAAATTCAAGTACGTATATTTTTATTTTCTTACAAGATTGTTAAAATGTAGCAAAGCGATTCCAAACATCAGATTACAAAAGAAATTGATTATGAATTAACTGACGTTTGGTTTTCCTGGAAAATAATTCCCCTCGATAAGTAGAATTGAAACTCTCAGCAAGGATGGGGAATTGCATCCATACAAATGTGGTAATTGGAAAACTAGCAAGCAGAATAAGTGGAAGAATAATCCTAAATTTTCCATGAAGCAAAATGATGAGAGCACAAGAAAAGGTAATCATCATGGTGATGATAGACAAAAAAAGGGTGAGAAGGCCTAACAACATTTTTCTGGGTAGAGGGATTTGAGGAAATCGTCCTGGGCATAACGTGATGTGAGGATTCCTAAGAATATCATTACTGAAGTTGTGGAAGAAAATAGGGAGATAGCATCTGAAACTATAAAAATTATGGGAGAACCTGTGTTTTGATTATTTCCACCAGGAACTGTAAAGGCTGCAGCGAACATGATGGTAACTATGAGAGCACCTACAACTGCACAAGACGTTGCTACCCCTTTCATTGACTTTTCTCCCTCCTTCATCAATTCCTTGTGGTTTTTGGTAAATAGCTCTTGTGTTGTTAATCCACACTTAGATGTTACTGCCTCGAGAACTTTGGGAGGTACTATATATACTCTCCACCTCCTGCATTTCATTGAACAAGAAAACATTTGAGATATCGCCATGAACTCTTTGTTATTACAAATCAGTTTTTGCTTGTTTTAAGTCTTTGTCCATTCTCTCATTCAACCACTAGAAATAAAAACAATCTATCGATTCATTTTCTGGGGCCTAGTGCTTGAAGTTTAATTTTGCAGATTCTGTTGTGTTACGACTTTTCTTTTCTGTCACTACTAGAAAAAGGGACTAAGGCCAAGTTTGCTTAAAGTTTACCAAGGCCACGGTTATTTGCTATGGCTCAGTTACATTCTTTTCCGTCACCTTGACAGTGAGACTCAGTTGTCAACTAAAAGGTACAAATTTAATGGAATTATTTTTAAGTATCAATGGGTATATATGTATGCACACAAAGGATTTTGTTCCTTAATTAGCATTATTTTCTAAAACGGAGGGGTTATTTATCTTGCATATAAAATATGTTAAACACTCTGTTTTGTCCACTCACATTTTATGTTTTGCACGCCCCAGGTTCTAGATGTTCGAGGTCAAGACCACCACGTCGAGGCATCATCGTTGTCCGCTCCGTAGGAATGTTCTACTATCACTCTCTATCTTTATTCTTTCTCAAGTTGTAAACTTAAATCTTTAGTTGCTCTGTTTGTTCGTTTGAGTTCGGGTAGAGAGCGTGAAGCCTATTTCCTTAATTTTAGCTGTTGTGTGTGCCATTACCTTGTGCATGCTGGAAGTTGGGGTTATTTCTGTACATGTTTGTAGGTACTGTAATTTGGGAATTGTTCCAATTACAGTGGAGAATTTGCTAAATTTTCGATAGAAGTTGAAATGTGTAAGATTCCACATCGACCAACAGAGAGGGGGTGATGTGCCTTATATGTACATGCCCGCCTTCATCTAGCACAAGGCCTTTTGGGAGCTCACTAGCTTCGAAGTCATGGGAACTCCGAAGTTAAGCGAGTTGGGGCTAGAGCAATCTCAGGATGGGTAACCAACTGGGAAGTTTCTCGTGAGTTCCCAGAAATAAAACCGTGAGAACAGAGAAGGGGGCCCAAAGCGGACAATATCGAGCTACGGAGGAGCTGATCCTGGGATGTGACAATTTGGTATCAGAGCCACTCTGCTGTGTGGTGCGAGTGTGCTGACGAGGACGTTGGGCCCCTAAGGAGGGTGGATTGTAAGATCCCACATCGACCAACGGAGAGGGGGTGATGTGCCTTATATGTACATGCTCACCTCCATCTAGCACAAGGCCTTTTGGGAGCTCACTGGCTTCGGAGTCATGGGAATTCCGAAGTTAAACGAGTTCGGGTTAGAGCAATCCCAGGATGGGTGAGCCACTTGGAAGTTACTCATGAGTTCCCAGAAACAAAACCGTGAGGGCAGAGAGGGGGGCCCAAAGCGGACAATATCGTGCTACGGCGGAGCTGATCCTGGGATGTGACAAACTGTTTATCAGTTTAAACTAAGGTAAAGGGCTTTTTAGTAAAGTGGGTCTAACATCGGTTAGTTGTTAGACGAGAAGCAGGGTTCGTCACGAATTCTAAGGAGGAATCTAGGGCGGGTCCTGTCATTTGGATTATGAGATAGCATTGTGTAGGGGTTTGAAAGAGAGATTAGCATTGTACTAATGGCTTTAACTAGTTATTGTTTAAGGACTCCTATATAAATTTATTATTTTATCAGAAAAACATCAACAAATTTATCAAAATTTCAAGTTCTGACGGAAAATGCACTTATAAGTTTTTCTCTCAAATATTATAAAAAATACTTTTAGTTGTCATAAATGTTTTCAATCAATTCAAAATAGACCGAGTCTTGAAACCTAGACTTAGAAATATATACTTATTTTGACCAGTGAAAGATTTTAATTTTGATTCACGAAAAAGGATACATAACCAAAAATCTGTATGCCATTTAAGCCCAAAAAAAAAAGATATTTAATCAAAACCCCAAAACTTCATACATAACCAAAGATATTTCATGCCATTTAGCATGAAATATTATACAAAAATTCATATAAAGCCTATTTGGAGAGAAAACCCCAAAACTTGCCACTTGTAATTTTCTAGGCTTATTTACTGTTTTGCCCCTTGGAACGGATGCTTGGTCTCGCTTTACCCCCTTTAATTGAAATTTTCTCACTTAACCCCCAGAATCTCTAAAAATTGCTGAAATTTCCTCACTTTACCACTTCCGTCCAATTTTGTCCACAAAACTGTTAAGGGTGCTGACGTGGCAGAGACATTCTAGTAATTTTAGCTATCTATATTATCTCTTATGTCTGCCTATCTCTCTCACCTAACTCCCTCTACCTCTCTCTTCTCTCCCCTCCCCCACCCAACCCCCATCGTACCCCACCCATCCCCATCTCTCTCTCTCTCTCTCTCTCTCTCTCTCTCACACACACACACACACACACACACACACACACTCTCTGCCAAGAGAGAATATGGGGAGTGGTTGTCTAGGAGATTTTTTTTAAAATTTTGAGTGGTGGTGGTGGTTTGGGTGTGTTGAGTAATTCCATGAAGGGTGGTTTGGTGAGGGAAGGGGAGAGAAGAAAGGAGAGAGAGGAGGGGGAGGGTGGGTGTGGGGTGCGATGGAGGTTGGGTCCGAGAGGGGAGAGAAGAGAAAGGCAGAGGGGCAGAGGGAGAGAGAAAAGACAGAAGATAAGGAGCTAAAATTACTAGAATGTCCATGCCACATCATTACATTTAACGGTTTTGTGGCTGGAAATGGACGAAAGTGGTAAACCGAGAAAATTTCAGCAATTTTTAGAGATTTAGGGGGTTAAATGAGAAAATTTCAGTTCGAGGGGGTAAAGTGAGACCGAGTGTCCGTTACAGGGGTGAAACAGTAAATATTAGTTCTTAGTGTGTTAAAATTTTATAAGAACTAATTAGAAAATAACAAGTGGCTAGTTTTGTGTTTTTCACTCCAAGTAGGCTCTATAAGGATTTTTGTATATTATGTCATGCTAGAATTGGTTTATTAGGGAAATCCTAAAAAAAAAAAAAAAACCTTTTTTTCTTAAACCCCCAACTAGAAATTTTATGAGCCAATCGTCAAGCTAAACAAGCCCTTTCGGCCGAGCCATCGAAACTTTGAATTAATAGTAATATTAAATCGTTTTGCTGGACAGTGTGGGCAAAAAAAATACAGGATCTAGCAAGTCAGGCTAAAGGTACGTAGGTTAAGATGTTGATTAAAGTTAAGTAATTTTTGTTAGTGGCTTTTCCACCCCCCACCTATGTGGACAGAGGTTCGAAATCTCTAAGCACCCAATAAATATTTGTGTAAACCCCCCTCTCCGAATGGCTTGTACAAAAAAAAAAAAGTTAAGTAATTTCCTATATGTGCTCCAGATGTCCTCAAGTTTCAACATTTGTTTTGGAATGTTAGGAACCTAAGACCTACTACGACGTTTTCTCACAATTGAATTCATGGAAATAGCAAAGAGGAAGGTCCGTGCACACTTCAAAAGGAGCTTGGCTTATAATAATCAGGGAATCCCATTCATCCCAAGACAGAGCAATAAAGCATGTACAATCGTAGTGTGAAGGCAACACGATAATTATTGGACTTAAATCATGTACGTAGTATTGGAATTACATAATTCATAAAACATTCAAACAAAAATGTATGCATCAAACAAAGTTAATTATAAGGATGGTTTTATTTGAACGAACAGATATATATAAACACGTACATTGTGTTTTCTTTACATGTTTCATAAAAACTTCTTAAAAGTGACAAAGCCAAAGACAAACATCATATGACATCAGAAGACAAACATCACACCGCATAATCAGGATTTTATTCCCAGGCTCTGCATTTCTTGTCAAATATTCCTCTTCCATAGGTAAACATGAAAATGTCAAGAAAGAGGGGGAATTGCATCCACACAAACGAGGCGATTGGAACGCTGGCAAGCAAAATGATTGGAATAGATACCCATGATTCTCCCTCAAGCATAATAAAAAGAGTTGAAGAAAAAGCAATCATCATGGTGGCAATAGATAAAAAAAGGGTGAAAAGGCCTAATAGCATTTTTGTGGGCAAAGACCTGAGGAAATCGTCTTCTGCATAACGTGATGTGAGAATTCCCAAGAATATCATCACTGATGTCGTCGAAGAAAAGAGTGATATAGAATCTGAAATTATAAAAACCTTAAATAACTTCTTTCTTGATAAGATGGGAAAACCTGTATCTTGATTGCTTCCACCAGGAACTGTAAATGAAGCAGCAAACATAATGGTAACAATGAGGGCACCTACGACTGTGCAAGAAGTTGCTGTCCCTTTCATTGACTCTTCTCCTTCCTTCACTAATTCCTTGTGGTTCTTGGTGAATAGTTCTCGTGCTGTTATTTTCTCGGTATAATTTATAGTTTCTATGGCTTGGGGGGGTACAATACTCTCCACCGCCTACATTTCATTAAGAAAACTCACATCACATATATATGGCCTATAGGTATATGTAACAAAGTAATTGTCTAAGGTTACATATATGTAATAAAGTGAGAAGATCTGACCTTGAACCATTGTAGTTCTCTTTGCATTTGCAAAGCTGCACCTTGAATATGATTAAGATTTGCATATAAACTCCCTGCTGCATGTAGGATACTATTGTTAGACTCATCTGCACTCGCTAAGATAATAGTCCTATCATATTCACTGAGCCCATATATAAGACTAAAAACTTTTTCTTGACGACATTTGACGGCGTAATGAAATATTGATCTATCTTTTCCATCCATCGTAATTAGTGGGATGCTTGGATTTGCCTTACACATCTCCTTAATAAACTCCACTTGTCCTTGTTTTACAGCTCGGAAGATTGCCTTTTGCAAGAAGGCAGTTTGCTTCGAGTCAAGATTTCTACTTTTTACCACGTCACACATGAGCCGTAGAATTTGAAGAATTCGGTCATGGCGCAATCTCATTTCATGCAAGTCATGGATTCCTAGGTTAACAGTGGAAAAAATTTTAATCTACAACGTATTACAAAAGTGAGAATTAATAATGTTGCATATAGCTAGTGTACCTAACAATTTGAGAAGATTCTTAACAACTCCTTGGAAGAAACCCGTAACTGCATTGCGAAATCCGTAGATGTTGGCGAAACAAAAACAAAAAGGAAACCAAAAAAAATACAAAAATGTCTTGTTTATACAACACGACTGCAATACTATAGTACGTGTATGTATGATGAACACTTTGAACTTCAAGCTTTGCCTAAGAAGGATGCAATATTGAAAATGGTAACGTACGTATACATACGTACCTGAGGAAATGCGATCCCTTTGATTTCTTTTGTTATCTTCTAGTTCTTCAAAATTTACACAAACATCAGAGTTGATAGGAGCAGGTTGAGGTTGTTGTATGTGTATATCTAAAGAGAAAGCAACACAATCCAATCAATACATTTTCCTACTTGTATGAAGTAGTATTATTCTATTTCTATATATATATATATATATATATAATGTGAATTCTGACACTGTCTTGTGAACAATGAAAGCTAATGAATATGCAGACTTGTACTTCTTCATCTATATATATAAAGCAAAAGGCAGAGAATGGTGAAACATTCAAAATACCAGAAAATGCCCTTGGTTAATGCAAACATTAAGAATTGAAATTATTAATTAAATGAGGATAATATGGTAAATTCACACGTTTTCATATTTTAAAAAATTTAAATTAAAAGAAAAATCAGATAATGAATCCTATTTTTATGGAACATAACTACCCATTATCTTTTTTAATTCTAAAATAAATTT